TTTTTGGTGCTCCTGACAATTTCTGAAAATTTGTTGGTTGAATTTTCGAGCACCCTGTATATAAACGTAAAGTATGGATCTTTCAACGCAAGTACAAAGCAACCAGTCACTCCGAAAAAGCACTGCATGTGAAATGTATGATACGATAGCGCGATGTGACACAAGTCATGCTGCATTTCATCTCATTGTTAACATTATTTAAAAATATATGAATCCATTTTTTAATTTTTTTTTTTGAAAAAAGAGGAAAAGAGAAGTTTTATTTTATCTGATATGAATATATACATGGTATATATAAATAGAGAGATAATAAGTATGTTAATTATAATTAACATAGTAATAAACAGCATAGTAATAAATTTTAATTAATGTGTCTCATTATTTGACGCGAATAAATTCATTTGGTCCTTTTTTCGTGAATGGTAGCGGGAAATTTCACTTACATTACGATCGTCGATATTACTTCTCACGGGTCTCTCGCAGCATCAGAATTCCAGGAAATTGGATTCGATCCGATCGCGACATGACGCGAGAAACTTTCCTCGGAGAGATATATCCGCGTAATCGTTGAGATCTCGTTCGCCGGGCCAATGAGTCATCGGTTCGACATTTCTAAGGAGCAGGTTTCCCCGGTATTCTGGTATGTCAAATGAATCATCGCGTGTGCTATGTATGTTTCGAAAAATTGTTACACGGAACTATCTTCACTGTCAGTTGACATTGATTGTACAGGGTGAATTACGCACTTTCATTCAACTATGGAGTACCATAGTTGAATTTCCACCCGATGAATTTCCGAAATCTCGAGAACGTCATTACGATGACCTAACGACGGAGTTATTTAAATTAGTCATATTAATATTTTTATATATTTTTCTAAGTTAACACCTTCGAGAAAATAATGTCTTTCCTCCAGTCAGTTTTAATCGGAGACTTTAGTTTAAGTTTTAATTCAAGGCTTGTTGTTAGTAATCAAGTGGCGCCATTAAAGTGAGATTAAATTAAGTTGCGAGCGATGAGAACTTAGATCGAATTAAGTTACGCTGGAACACTAATAAGATTGTCCCAAGATCATTAGACATCATTAGGCATCATTATCCACATCGCAATTAGTGCGATTGCATCAGGTAGATAAGGTTTATACATAAATAACAAATGAAATTCGCCTGAGGAGTCGAATTTCAGCTGCAAAAGTATCAATCTCGGATTTACCGAGAAATTCTTAACGGAGGAAACTGATATGTCCGCATGATTCTGATATGAATTCTGATATACTCTATGTAAACTGAACGTTTTATCGCCTCTGGAATACGACAAACGGCACGCATAGCTTTACGCGTGTCTCCCTTCCGTCACGCGGATCCAAAGCGCGTGTCCTTCAGCCCTAAACGTGTGAATTATGCTCTTTTCTGTATAATACTGCCGTACAACGCGTATGTACCGTCCAACACACACGCGCGCGCACACACACACACACACACACACACACACACACACACACACACACACACACACCACA